TAAGTACCAGTTTCAAACTAAAACATTTTAGAGGTGTAATCGTGAAACCGTGATATTTTTGCCCAAGGTTATCGTACTGTCATAATTTCATACGTCCCATGCCTAGTCCTTAGTTTTAAATGTTTTCTGTCAGAGGAGAGCTTACAGCAGGAGTTAAAGTACAGCTCAAGCACACTTGAGACAAGTTGTAGATGCTTTTAACATTTAGACAAGTTTGAAATGCCATCAAAGACTCTTGAGTATTCTGAGAGAAAATGTTTTGAACATGTTCAAAATTCAACCAATATGAATGCGAGCTTCTGCAAATCACACAAGAAGATAGAGAACTTCTGTAAACGTGTTGTGTCATTTCGGAGACTGCTGTTCCACTAGTTGCCAGCAGTCAAAGCCCAATGAAATACTACCTTTAGGCAAAAAGAGGGCTTGCGTGTGGAATGGCATTTCAGATACTCAGGGTGTTGTTGTTGTTGATTTATAATGGAGGAGGGGAATGACACAAAGGGAGAAAATATGTATGTAAATTTCAGCAGCCAACATCTGATGCCAGACATGTCCGATCAAAGAAAAGTAGCAACATATGATACATTTTATGTTTCCAGTTGTCCAGCTATATAAAAACAAAACATTCCAGTGTTCATAAATCCWGAGTGAAGAGTTACAGCTGTAAATTTGGAAAAAGAAGCACCTCATGTTTTCTTATTTAGGTTGAAAGTTTGGAGAAGGAAACCATGTCTCGTCTAACTTGAGCCCTGTGTGATTGTTGACTTTAGAGGGGATGATGGGTTTAAACACCACAGGGGCCATACTTTTCATGGCACCAGGCTTGTGTATCTAATTTGAAAGTACTACTGTGTACCCATTTGCATTTAAGTTTGCCAAACATGTGGAGAATGTACCTTTGCGTCGATGCTCTTACATCCTGTCTGCTTCAACACTTAGCAGAGAATGTATCCTTGCTTACCTAAATAAGGAGCAATATATGTAAACAAATAAACAAGTATAATTATGTATATGTAAGTCTTTTCCCTCGGACAARGCACCAAAGTAAATTGAAGTAAATTTATTGGTATTGATTTAATAGAGTGTAACACATTGCAGCATATTAGTGCTGAAGGTATGACAGGGATTATCTTTGCTTGGTGCTGTMCTGTGTTCTGAGTTACAAGCTGCCATAAGCTTCTGTCATATTTTTTTATGTTTTTTTTTCTTCTATCCTCTTATCCAGTTTTGTAAGTTTGCCAACCAACACACTCTTGCATTTCTCTGGAAGGACAAGACAAAGCTTTAAACTCGTAAACCTGAATTCCTCACTGTTGAATTATTCATAGTCAGTTCTCTGTGCGCTGACTTTCAGCATCATTAGCAGTGCAAATAAAAAGAGGAATATTTGCACAAGCCAGACTTTGTTGGTGACAGCATTGATTGCTACAGAGCTGCCCTAAATCCCAATCAACCTGAATCACTTGTTTTTTCCCAACATTCATTAGATCTATTACCTTAGAAAATATGAACTGGATGCAAGGTTTTGTACTTTCACGACTCAACCTGGAGCGCTGGAAGCTTTAATCTCCAAACAAGATACTTTTGTGTTCCACCCCCATGCTGCACTTCAATAATCCCCTTTTTAATATCTCACATTGCCAGTGGCATTTGCTTCCTGCAGAATAGGGGATTGCATTACTAATGTCAGGAATGCAATGAAGGAACATGATTGAACATGTCACTTTGCCGTTTGCACTTGGTGGCATGACACATTTATGCGTATTATATGGGTGGAAACATTCTTTTTGCACCCCACCCCCCCACATGGTAGAACAAGACGAGGGAGGATCAGTGCTGGTAGTGACTCCAAATGTCCGTAAGACCAGATCAGAAACACTCCTTCACTTCTCTGAAGCCACTGCTTCGCTGACAAATCATCTTCGCTGGAAACCAGTTGCAAAAGAATCACAGCGTTTGTCTCGTAGCGACGTGCAGAGGTGAAAACACTGAGTAAGCTCTTCGTATTGCTCTGTTTTTGTCCTGCAGTGGAATTCAGGCTCGTGTTTGTCAGAGTATGAGCAGACTTACAACAGGCAAAGCAAACAGCAACAATCAGCATTAACCCCCTCGTTGCCTTTACTTGTGCTGTCCTTCATCCAGTCAGCTATACTTCAAGTTAAAACGTATCAACATGAATAACGAAAAGAATAACTCACTGAGCTGTAAAGTTAAGACAATGACAACTGGAAGATAAACTTTTAAAAAGACACAACAAAGGCTTATACAGAAGTAGGGTTYGGCAATATTGGCAAAAAAATWAATCACAATTAATTGTGATATTTAGCCGATAACGATTAGTTTGACGATTAATCCACTGGAGTCCCTGGACACCCTTATATCCTAGTCACATGACCAATTTATAGGGAGAAAATTGGCTCTTCGTAAAAAATCTGTTCCAAATTGTGTCAAAATTACAGACTTCAGGCTATACACCAAACTTTAAATTGTGTTGATAGATAAATAAATTACACAATTTTTTAAAATGGTCATATTTGAATCAGAGAGGAACACCAAGCGGCTAATCTGCCWGGTGGCATTAATTGTATTAATTGTCAACTGCCAAAAATTAATCGATTAATGTTTTTCTGACGATTAATTGCACACGATACGATTATGCCTAACCCCATACAGAAGCCAGGAATAAAATAAATAGTATCCATGTGATATGTATCCCAAAAATTATTTGTACAATTTGACATTTAGACCATGGCCAGCATTTTCCAGCTGGCTGTTTATTCCCCAGCCTGACCGAGCTGTACATACAATACGTMGCCCTAAACCCAGAGCTCCAAAGCATTTAGACCATGATGTGCCTGAGGTCTGAGTGATTGATGAAAGCTGCCACCTCTGTAACCTCAGTGCAGGTGGCCACACATCACTACTCACTGCTCACTTCATCTGTGGGTGGCAAAATGATCTTTTACTTGCTTACTCAGTTTTGTATGGCACCAAATGTCTGAGGTGTTTTAACAAGCTTAAGTAAAGAAACCTCAAACCACATGTAACAAGTTCAAATTGTCATCAGTTTATTACATTTTAATTGGAAGCTTCATCGATGAAACAAAGCAATGCGTTTAAGAATAAAATAGAATAAAAGATACAAAAAAATCATTTAAAAGAATTGGTATAAATTAGGATTGGGTGATATTGGCAAAAAATAATCACGTTTAATTGTGGTATTTTGCCAATAATGATTTACATGACTTTTATTCCCTTGGAGTCCCTGGATGCCCTCATATCCTAGTCACATGACCACTTTAAATCACTTTAGTGGGAAAAATTTGCTCTGTGTAAAATCTGTTCCAAATTGTGTCAAAATTACAGACATCATAATGTACATCAATAGTTAAACTGTTTTGATAGGCCAACTAAAACCAAAGTTATGATAAATAAAAAACAGAACTTTTAAAAAATGTTTGTCATATTTGAAGCAGAGAGGAGCACCGAGCGGACAGACCGGGTAACTCTCCAGTCTGCCTGCCTGCTGACATTAATTGTATTAATTGTCAAGTGCCAAAAAAATAATCGATTAKAWTTTTTCTGATGATTAATTGCACACGATACAATTTTGCCCAYCTCTAGTATAAATAAATGACAATGTTATATTGATGTGTTCTATACCCCTTTACCATATTTTCTCTGTAGAAACCAATGACTAAAAACAGCTTTTAAATGTAACAACCCTGATTAGAACATCTTACTTTTGAGATTACSTAGAAAATTTGGGAGCAGTCCAGAACATTCTGACTAGATTATTCCTGTCATTTATTCCCACCTTCCTGTCTCAGTAATGTAAAGGTGAATGAGGTTGGTTTAAGATTTATGTTATAAACAATTAGTTGTCATTTTCTGTAAACACAACATTGAAATTCAGACATGCACCTTTTGTATTGCTGTTAAGACACAACACACCCCTCTAATTATGATATGAATGAAGTGATTGTGAACACTATTAAAGTTATCTTTAAAGTTTTTGTAGTGTTTAGGCTCCAAGATACAAATGAAACACTCGCAGCCTGTAGAAATGTGTAACAACACATTTATATTGCAAGCAGAAAGAATTTTTTCAAGACAAAAAAAMAATTATTACGAGCAATTATGATGTTATCACAATCATGCAAAGTCCTTGAATTGCATACTTTTAGCTAATTTTAGATTGGCACAGCTARGACATTTTTGGGGGTAATATGTATAATTTGCAGTCTGCTCTGTGCAAACTCAGGGCTCAAGTCGTTTGATTTCTTTAAAAAAAAGCAAGCTCTGCGTGACTTTTGACAGTGGACAAAATGCATCTAAAGATCTATTTTTTAAAAAATTATCTGCTGTGTTTTAACACTTTAACGCTTGAAAATAAATAATGCAAAACAACAGGTGATAGCCTGACACACAAACTCAAAAACCTTCTCCTCTTGTAAAGTCAATTGAGTTTATCTAATAAAACAATGAACAAASACAATGTGGGTCACATTCTAAATAGATGATAGAAAGCAAACAAACAAGGGTGTCCTTGTTTCTCAACATCGGGGTCGTGTTGCTGCAAAAAGATGGCGTTCCTCCAAACGCCCACGATTCGGATCCGCACATACCCAGACATTTTGGTCCTCGCTGCTTTTTATATTTCCCTGCTTRCCCCCCACCATTAAAAGCGAAGCATAGTGGACACATTTTGACGTCACCGGAGTGGACTTTTCCAGAGGCGGGTGTTTCCCTTCTGGACTGAAAGGAGGAGCTGTCTACTCAAAGCTGCTCTCTGTCTCATTTTGTATGCAGAAATTCCATGCTGCATATTAAGTGTTGGCACAAAGCTTTCCAGGACATCTATGGGATCTTTCTGTGCATTAGGATGTTTGTCAGAGAGTTATTCACAGTTATTTATTCATATTAAAATATCAAAAAGACAGAACTTCTGCTGACTTTGTGTGTAATTTTTTTTTTATAATTTATTTATTTATTTCTAGTTTTGGGAAGCGATCAGCAGGAAGCCTGCGGCGTGGATGTGAGTGCATCGTCCTCGAAGCTTCAGAGATGATTGTGGTGAGTCCAATTTCTCAYACTTTCAACACATTTTGTGTCAAAATATTAATTTCATTCAAAAGAGTTAGTTTCTTAWTTACAGCTACAGGAAAAGCGTAGGTAAATAATTCAATGCAACCCCACGAATTTGGGCACATGTGCACTCGCGTGTTGCATCATGCTGTAATGGATTACACTTAAACACAGTGCACTTTGGTTTCCACCTCAGTTTTAGACTGTTTTTTATTTATTTTTTGCCATACAAAGTACAAAATTGCATCAGGCTGTGGTTCCCAATCCAAAACTAATCAACTAATTCAACATTCAGAAACAACTGGGCTCAGAAGACTGATGATTAGTTTCAGTTGTCTTTGGTGCAAGAGTGCAGAAAATCCATTATGATAATTATGTTAAAATAGTTTTACATCATCCATGAAACAATGAAGAAGAGCAGTGTGGTTATCAAATATGGACTGTCTGTTTTCTTTTTTGTTTGTTTGTTTGTTTGTTTGTTTGTTTGTTTGTTTGTTTGTTTGTTTCCCAAAAGTAAAAGTATTGTAGAAGAAATTATTCCAGTCACAATTATAACCAAGTTACCAACTCAATCATCTGTTGAACAGAAACCATCTGAACACTCCCTCTGATGGTTTCACTGACATAATGAGACGCATTCAGTATAATGATATGCTTCATCATTTAGGTTGACCTTTAAAATAACCGTTTAAGTCTACCAATTTTAAATTCTTTAAATTTCACATGAAAACTCGCCTCGAGTTTTTATTAACCACTACCAAAGTCTACAGATGTTTTTTGCCCACATCTGTGTCTGTAGCACATTTTTTTCCTTAACCTCAAGACCGGTTCTGTTGAATCTCTAAGAAATTAATAATTGGATGCGTATCTTTAATTATCTTTTGGAGAAAATTTCAATCAAGATGGCCGTTCGATTTAATAATCCTTTGCTGACACAAAAGTAACAGTCGTTTTTACAGATATTAAAGGGATCCATGATTAGTTGTAACATTAGACTTTATTTGATAAACATATATTTTAACTGTAAAATAAAGACAGTAAAAG